CAGCAACCACAACTCCACAAACAAATGACTTTGACTCTGCAAGGAAGCAACTCAAGCATGCAGCCCACTTGACCTACTCTCGTGACGCCAATCCATGCAAAGCCATTCCATAGAACAGGCCAATTAACCTTGACACCTTGCCATAACCAACATGTACACCGACCATATCCTGTGATCTTGGCCCGCACAAAAATAGGTCAACTCTTGGATTTTCTCATAATCCTAATCACCATCTGAACAATACACCGGAAATGGTCTTTCCACCTATTTTGCGATATCTGTACGACACCATGTTTATACTAACAGTAAACGTAGTTGAAATTCTAATCCTCGTTATTCCTTTCTCTCACAACCAAATGCTTAATATAATAACTGCAAGATTCAGCTTCTTCAAATTTACATATATTTGGATTTTTCCATTTTTATTACAAGTACTACAGGTGCATACCACTCAGTTGGTTCTGTAAACTTTTCAGTAATTACCTCATTTTCCAGTCTATTCAATTCTTCCTTCACCTTTGGTAAAATAGGCAATGAGACTCTCCTAAATGTAAAGTAAAGCATCTGTTTCAGAACTATTTTTACTGGGTTACGGTTCATATACCCTCCAGAGCCAAATGAAGTTCCCTGTTTTATTTTGTCTAAACATTTCAATTCACTAAATTCATTTTTCTAGACAATAAGTTCTCTCCCTTTACACATTTAATGACAAATATCTCCAAATAATATTTGTCCTTACCTTCTTCGGTAGTGGTATTAAATTATCCATTGCATTGGAATATTCCTCCAGGACTTGTGACTGTCCTGGGTATGACGATAAACTACATCCACATCCAGGGTAAGATGATAAACTACGTCCAACAGCAAGGCCTCTGATCAGGAGGTTTTGAGGAGCGTGGAACCACCTCTTAATTGCTGGTGTTCCCAGGTCCACCCTGACCTGGGGTGGTAGCATCCATTAGGGTCCCAGCTATGGTCAAATAGTTAACCCTGAAACTGAGGTAAAAAACATTATGAAAGTGTAAAACTAGGTTTTAATACCAGAAATATTTTGTAAAAAATTATTACAAGAAATAAATTTTTGAAGAAGAAAAACTATCAGCAGTAATACGTTTTTGAAAAAAAAAATATTACCAGCAATACATTTTTGAGAAAAAAATATTACCAGAAATAGATTTTTGACAAAACAAAAATATTACCAGGGAAAAAAAAGTAGCTAGCATTAAATAACCCATTGCGGTTGATATGCCGTAAAACAAAATAAACCAAACTAATCTAAACCAAAGAATACATATTCTATTCATACGAATCTACCCTAAAAATGTTGTCGGTATTAAATGACCCATTGATGTTGATATGCCGTAAAACAAAATAAAGCAAACTAATCTAAACCAAAGAATACATATTCTATACATACGAATCTATCTTAAAAATGTTGTCGGCATTAAATGACCCATATGCTGCAAACCAAACCAAACCAAACCAAACCAAACCAAACCAAACCAAACCAAACAAGGACTTGTGAAAATGCTATTTACTGGTTTTAATATAGGTTTTTCTCTCAGATTTTTGTAAGTATTGGTTGAGATGATATTTATGTTGGTAGTTGTGTCAATTTTAAACCTTACTGCTGTTAATCTTTGTCATCTTCTTCCCAGAGTTTTGATGCTTCTCGAAAGAGTTAAAATCTCTGCGACCATTTCTGCCAATTTTCCAGATTTGTAAAATCAAACGGTCCTGTTGTAATTAATATGAACATTTTTTTTTTTTGAATAAAAATTTGTTTTTTTTTGTAAATTGGGTCCTGTTCTTCAGAAAAATAATTTTCTTCTTTTAGATAGAAACCCTCCCCAACACCATGATTTATTGCCCACTTAGGGGGGAAAGTTAAGTTATAAGAGACTGGCTGCTGAAAAGTCAAAGCAACACAAAGATGACACAAGACATGGTAAACTTAACAACTTTATTATTCAAGCTCCTGCTGAATCCATTGTGCTATCAGCATTCCCTAGTGGAACCAGAAGTGCTTATAATCATAATAATAATGAACATTACTGATGTTCTTATAACACATATGAATCTATCTTGAAGTATACCAAATTAACTTTATTTATTTAATAACAAAATAGAAAACTGAATAAACAATGAACTTTTACAACTAACCACTGACATAAATAAACTAATCAGAACATTTAAAGGAAAAATATTTTGCTTTGTGATAAAACTCAGTTGCAGATTTTAAGCTAGCCAGTTGTAACTATTATTTCCAATATGAAGCCTAGTTACTGATATAATACATCTCTCATAATATATTATTTAATGCATTAACAAAAAGAATATATATATAATATATATAGAAAATATAATATATAATACATATAATATATAATATATATAATATATAATACATATAATATATATTACATATGTGACACATATAACATATAATACATATAATATATAATACATACAATATATAATACATATAAAATATATATAATACATATATAATACATATAATATATAATATATATAATACATATAATATATATAATATATATAATACATATAATATATAATAATGATGTAATACATCTCTCATAAACATATTATTTAATGCATTAACAAAAAAGAATGTAAAAAATTCAAAGAAATAGCAAAACAGATTTTATTGAAAATAAACTAATTCTATTGAGGTAATTTTAACTCTTTGTGCCCTGACCACCACTTTGCTGTTGGTAGAAAAATGATGTAATGCCCAGCCATCAGTTGAATGGTGGGTAAACACTTGTAATTATTTTTATATCTACTGTGAAACATTACATACCAATTATTTGCAAATTTTGACTCAGGAGCTCAGGCAGAAGTGTTAAAATTGTTCAGAAATGCAGGGCTGAAATGGTTATGGTTTGGTGCTTGTGGTGCTGCTTCAGGTCTGGTGCCATTTACCACCAATAATCTTTAGACAGATATGTTCTTCAAATTTCCAGACATAAATAAAATGTGATTTTATATACATGAATATAAGTTTTTGAGTCAAATTCATTTATTAAAGTCATAATAATAATTAATTAATTTGACGTAACAATGATTGTCATCATTCAAGGAAAAAGTTTCAAAATTATCTACAGTTTGCATTGCAGGTTGGAAAATAATTACCATTATTATGGTGCCTTCTATGGTTCTAATTTAGCAACTACATGAAACAGACCTTTTTCCTTTGGACCCTATTTATCACTTTTTTCCTAACTCATTAGTGTCACATATTGATATGACCATGGTCTTGGGTAATGATGTTCAGCCAACATTATATTGGTCAGCATTTGTTATCCAAGCTTCATCAGATTTTGGTTGTGGAGTTTAACTCAACCCTGTCTACCAAAATACCCATTAAGTGGGATTAAAAAGGAAGGATATAAGCTCACCTTTCCTCTTTTCATTCTAAAATACAGTAGATAACATCTGCCTCCAGAAAAGTTTCTTTCTCCAGGCAAGTGTTAGACTTCAAACCCAGCCATGTGGCACATTACACACACACACACACACACACACACACACACACACACACACACACACACACACACACACACACACACACAGAGTTTTAGCAACAATGCCTATAAATATTTTTCTTCCTTTTTCAGCTGTGTACAGACAAGTATATTTCTCTCTTCTTGAATTAAGTTATTCTTCATATAAAAATATATGTATAAAATTCCACCACATGTTGAAAATTCATTTACTTTGAAAGTTTTCCACCTCAGTTGTAACAAGTAGTAACTACTCCCACTATAAAATGGTGACCAAAAACAACTTTGTGCAAAACAATCTTGTAGCCTCAATTTGCTACAGGGTCAGTGGTTTCCTTTGCCGGATAACTAGGCATTATTAGGTTTTCAAACCATTTCTGCTTTTGCTGGCCAAACAACATTGATATGAGGATTTGCTTGCTTTATTTGAAGATAGTGTTACACTTCACAAGCTGAAAACAATTGACATCAAGGCAGGTCTAAGGAAATATGTCAATTTCTTTGATGATCAGTTCTTTCATTGAGACCAAATATTACTGGCATAGAACAGAACAAGCAGGACAAGATGGTGGAGATATGCAGCTTTCTTTTTCAGGGTGGACTTACATTTTGTACTAAGTGGCTGTTTTTAGAGATATACTTATGTTGTATGCTTAGTGGCTTTGTTTTTAGGTATATTCATATATTGGGATCTCAGTGATTTTGTTTTGGGGCATATACTTATGTTGGGCTCCTAAGAACTTTGTTTTTAGGTATAACCTTTGTTGGGCTCTAATTAACTGTTTTTTTTAGTCATATACTTATATTGGGCTCTTGGTGGCTTTGTTTTTAGGCATATATTTATGTTATATGTTCAATGACTTTGTTTTTAGTCATATACTTATATTGGGCTCTCAATTGGGTTGTTTTTAGGGATATAGTTATATTGGCTCTCAAGAACTTTGTTTTTAGGCATATACTTATGTTGAGTTCTCAGTACCTTTGTTGTTAGGAATATATTTATGTTGTATGATCAGTGGATTTGTTTTTAGGGATATATTTATATTGTACACTCAGTGGCTTTTTTTATGAGATATACTTATATTGGGCTCTCAATAGTTTGTCTATGGGTATATACTTATATTGTATGTTCAGTGGCTTTGTTTTTAGGGATATACTTATGTTGGACTCTTAGTAGCTTTCTTTTTAGTTATATATTGATGTTGTATTCTCCGTGGCTTTGTTCTTAGGGATATACTTATATTCGGCTATCAGTAACTTTGTTTTTAGTCATATACTTATGTTGGTCTCAGTGGCTTTGCTTTTTGGCATATACTTATGCTCAGTGGCTTTGTTTTTAGGGATATACTTATGTTAGACTCTCTTGTGATTTAGTTTTTAGTCATATGCTTGTTTCAGCTCTCAGCAGTGGCTTGTATCTTGATGGAGATCAATTGTAATCACTGAAGTTTGATTTCATGTATAGGTGTACTATGAGCTAAGAAGAAAAGTGGAAGGAAGAGAAAATTTTCTATCATTGTTATACTCTTGCTGCCATCTGACATACCAGACGAGTGGTGTTGTCTCAACTAGCTGTAAAAAAGGAGGATGTTTGTCTATAACAAATTTTGTTCTTTGTATATACATTTCCAATAAATGTATACACATTAAAGTTAAGTGAAAAGATTGTAAGTTAAGGTCTTTGTAATAAAATATAGTGAATATGAAATGTTTTAAAATCACGTTTATAGAATGTTTTGAATATAATTGTTATGGTCCAGGTCCTTGTACCATGGTAATGGTCCAAGGTAGAACCAATAAAGAAGAACTCGAACATGGATATGGAATAACATAGATATATTACAAACAGGAATATATACAGAGAAGTAGAAAGTGTTAGTACGAATAATCAGGTTTAGTGGGGAGAACAATGTAGTCTCGACCAGTATCACTATTCCAATGTCTTGTAGTAATTGTCTGAATGTGACTCTGTTTCAGACTGTGACTGACTCGCTCACTCTGACTGACAGACTCCTGACGGACTTCTGACGGACCTCACTCCAGACTTCAGACTGAACTCCCTGCTTCCTCTTGAGGCGCAGTATTTATTATGTATGGAATAGTCCATTATGTTATTATGGGTAAGGTGCCATAACAATAATACAGTACATTGAAATGAGTATAAAATAACTGTCAAGACAGTTTGAAATTTCACATGGTCGTAGAATTGGTGTCAAAAGAAACAAACTGACGTGTGCTCATCAGCAGCTGATGATGTTCTCTTAGTCTCTGCCTTTTAAAGACTTGAAGGGGATGGTAGAAAAAGGCTTTTGTTTTTTTTTTATCAATTCACCCCAAGCAAGGCAATAATGTCACTAAGATGTAAGGAACTATTGGGAGTGAAAGAGAATGAAAAAGACTTTAAAAGGAAACGGAAACCCATTCTTAAACAGGAAAGGGATAAACCTTTACTCCAGTTCAAAAGACTGCAGAGTAGTTGGAAATGAACAATAGGCATAAGACTGGGGAGGAGTGGGAACTGAATAACAAAAGACCAAGGAATTGATCCTATCTACTTCTATTGATAAAAAAATAAGAAATATTAAATAAAATTTCAGGCAAAGATGTTAGAAGTATAGAGTCAAAGTAGATTTTAGAAGGAGCTGGAAACCCAATCCTAGACAGAAAAAAAAAAGGGATAAATCTCTACTCATGTTCAAAATACCAGGATAAAGTGTGAACTCAATGATAGGTGAATCTATCTACTCCTATTAACAGGGAAGTGATTTCAATTGCTGGAATATCTTTTGTTTTATTTTTCTTTCCAAACAGAACCTCTGTGTAATGTTGTTAAGAATTGTTCAGGATTAGATGGATAATCTTAGTGATGAATAGCGTAATGTCATCAGAATAATAAACATCTGTAAGTGACTAAAAACAGATTCAGTTCAACTTAATTCTCCAATATCATGATAAGGCAAGTTCATATATTCAATGATACAGTTCAAAAGATCAAGTACAATGACACATCACTGACATATTTCTGAAGCAATATAGAACTAACTAATAGCAACTCAGCAGAAGCAGATACAGATATGTCTGTTCACAGCAGTTTATATCTCCTGATCAGTTTCAATGACATTGCAGAGGCCTGGCGTTAGGCAGTGCTGGTTAAGTCTATAAAAAGACATTTTCCGTCTTTATTTACATTATTCGGATTATTGTCCTCATCTTTGTCACCATACTTATCACAATGTTTTGGCCGTTGTACGCTCCGGCCTTCTTCAGGTGGTTGGAATGTCGAACTGAACCCTTTATTTCGCTCACTGGCGTAGACTGTTCTACAAGTCCTCAAGGACACATGGCACAGTGGATAAAGGCGATGGTTAGATCCAGTAACAAGACCCAAAGAATGTGAGTTCAATACCCAGTTAAGGCAGTGGAGAACTTTCAGAGGGAAAATTAACAGGAGATAACTGATAGCTGACATCCATCAAACATGGCACGTGGAACTAGAACAGTCTACCCCAGTGAGTGAAATAAAGGGTTCAGTTCGACATTCCAACCACCTGAAGAAACGTTGTGATAAATATGGCGACAAAGATGAGGACAATAGTCCGAATAATGTAAATAATGTACATAATACCTCATCTCAGAAATATAGACAGATTTTTCTTCTTGATCTTTTTTCCTTCCACTTGCTCAAAGATGTAGCACCACTTGGTAATTACATTCCCACTGGGAAATTTAGTTTCCCCAGTCCACTGGTGGCTGAACTCTCTTTTCACTTTCCAATGTATAGCATTTACATGTGTCTTCCAAAACCTCCACTTATGAAGTAAATCAACCTTTTCTTTGATTGTTCCAACTCTGCACAAGGCTAGCTTGTGTTTGACCATGAATACAATGCTTATCCTTACTTACCCTAACTTCTAGACCAAGAAGAAAGAAAATGAACATACCATAACTATGCCTAAACCTTCCAATGATAAAGTAAGTACAAACTTTTCTTTGGTTGTTCCAACTCTGTGCAAGGCTGACTTGAGATCAACTATTTATACAATGCTTATCTTTACCCTAACTTTTGAACCAAGGAAAAGAAAACATACATACCATAACCATAATTAGACCTTTAAAGACTTGAAGAGGATTCTAAAAAAGAGCTTTGGTATTTTTTAATTAATTCACCCCAAGCAAGGTAATAATGCCTCTAAGATGCAAGGGACTACTGGGATGGAAAGAGAATGAAAAAGATTTCAGAAAGAACCAGAAACTCAATGTTAAACTGGAAACAAGGGATAAACTTTTTTCCTGTTCAAAAGGCCGGGTAGGAGTGGGAACTGAATGATATACAAAGGACAGTGGAGGAGTAGGAATTGAATAATAGTTAAAAGACTGGGGAGGAGTGGAAACTGAATGATAGGCAAACCTATTTACTCATATTGAAGAAAAAATAAATAGTAAATAAAATTTCAAAGTTTAGGTGGAGACATTAGATGTAGACATTAGATGTATAGAGTCAAAGTAGACTTTAGAAGGAACTGGAAACCAAGTCCTAAACAGGAAACAATAGATAAACCTCTACTCCCATTCAAAAGACTAGGGAGGATTGTGAACAGGATGATAAGCAAACCTATCTACTCCTATTAAGCAAGTACAAACTCTTCTTTGGTTGTTCCAACTCTGTGCAAGGCTGACTTGAGCTTGACCATTAATATGACGGTTATACTTACTTACCCTAACTTCTGGACCAAAAAGAAAACAAACTTACCCAAGAGACATTGAGAACTTTGTTTCACGATATTTTAAAAGAAAAACAAAAAGAATAAAGGGTCCGTAGTAGAGACCCAAGTTGTTATATGCTTTTTCTTTAATTGTTAATATATGAACACACACCCTCTTATAATACACCAACACACAACTTTTTAAATTCCATACCACCAAGGAGGGATACTTATAACTAGAAACAACCATTTTATCTCTTACAATATTTAAAATCATTGGGGACAACTTAAATAAACTGGTCCACTCATAAAAAAATAGGTAAAATTTTGGAGGAAATAATTTTGGTAGGTTAGCATATATGAGACCTTCCTTAAGCCATTACACTTGCCAGAAAGAAAAAATATTGATTAGGTATTGATTTAGAAGGAGGGTCAAGTTCATAATTATAATAATACACACACACACACACACACACACACACATATATATATGATAAAATATAGTTTTAGGGTATGCTATATTTATAGGTTAAAGTGCTCAATATTAGGAATATATGCAAAGTAGACATTGAAGGCAACAGTCTATTTCATGTTTAAGTGCAAACACAGATAGCCTGACAATTACATTCAAGCATGAAACAGACTGTCGCCACTGGATGTTGATTTCAATATTCACTTTTATATTTATATATTGTGGGAAATTTGTTCCAGCTTTCCCACATGAAAGGCTTATGGTTAAAGGTGACAGAATCAATAAAAACAACAGCTAAACAAAATTTTAGAGCAGACAATTCTCTCTTTTAGGCGGAAGAATAAAGACTCAAACTCCTATTTTGAGTTTAACAATAGAAGTTAATGTTTATTAACATGCACAAAAAATGGTAAAAGGATATATACAAAATATGAGAGAAAGAAAGGGAAAAGGAAATTCCTTTAACTTACAAGAAGAAAAAGTGTTCATGCAAAGGCTTGCTCAAAATATTTTGCTGAAAAGTTCTTTAAGCAAGTAAATTTTTCTTAAAGGGTTAACACTCACATAAGATTTCTTCAGAGAAAAGTTGTGAGCATTACCCCACCCCAACTTTATGGCATCATGGTTAAGGCAGGCATGGTCAAAGTACTTTTTATATTTTCCAGCTCTCTCATTCATCAGAAAATATATTCTTATCTCTGATATGAATCAAGGCTTTGGGAGCCAGGTTTTGGAAGCAGAGGTGTACATAGGGACAAAGATCAGAAAAGAGGCTTGGGCGTGAACTTGTAAAACATTGTAGTAGTGGTTTTCAAATTAAATTCTGATAATATATATATATATACAGAGAGGGAGACGGACAGACAGACAGACAGTCAAAGAGAGAGAGAGAGAGAGAGATGCTAGCTCAATAAAAATAGATAGATAGATAGATAGATAGATAGATAGATAGATAAAAATGTTTCTCTATTTTTTTGAGTGGACCAGTCTATTTAAGTAGTGTCAGTTGGCTTCCCTGTCAGAAAACATAGATTAGAGAAATCTATTTTGTAAACAAATATTCAATTTAAATGCAAATTTGAGAAAAACTGTTTATCCGTATCTGTCTATATTTCTGAGATGAGGTATTATGTACACTATTTATATTATTCGGACTATTGTCCTCATCTTTGGCGCCATATTTATCACAACATTTTGGCCGTTGTATGCTCCGGCCTTCTTCAAGCAGTTGGAATGTTGAACTAAACCCTTTACTTCACTCGCTGGGGTAGACTGTTCTAGTTCCACGTGCCATGTCTAATGGATGTCATTTATCAGTTATCTCCAGTTAATTCCCCTTTCCAAGTTCTCCACTGCCTTAACCGGGTACTGAACTCATAGTTTTTGGGTCCTGTCACTGGATCTAACTAATGCCTTTATCCACTGTGCCATGTGTCTTTAAGGACACATGGAACAGTGGATAAAGGCTATACCTAATAGGTTTCTAGTCTCGGTTCCCTGTGTGCTGGGTAAGACGATAAACTACATCTGTGTCCTGGGTAAGACAATAAACTACATCTGACAGCAAGGCCTTTGATCAGGAGGTTTTGAGGAGCATGGAACCACCTCTTAATTGCTGGTGTTCCCAGGTCCACCCTGACCCAGGGTGGTAGCATCTGTCAGGGTCCCAGCTATGGACAAATAGGTTTTAAAACAAGCAATACATTTGAAAAAAATTATTACTAGCAATACATTTTTGCAAAAGAAAAATATTATCAGAAATACATTTTTGGATAAAAAAAATATTACCAGCAATACATTTTTGAAGAAAAAAACATTACCAGCAATACATTAAATAACCCATTGATGTAAAACAAAACAAAACAAACCAAGCCAAACCAAACTTGGTTCCCTTAAGCTATAAATACAAACATGTTTTAATTTCAAATTATACCATACCATTATATGAGTTTCAAGGATAATTGATACAAAACATCCGGTGCTATCAATATAAGATAAAGAAATTGATGAATAGAAAACTTTAATTTTTGAACATTACACAATTTATATCTGAAAAGGTCTTTCATAGTACTTACCCTCTGAATCAGCAGATACCACTCCCCCCTTTTTGACTTTTTGGTTGTAATACTCAGTGTTCAGCTCTCAATCTGTCTGTGTTGTGCTTGTCACATGAAATCCCATGAAAACATTCACCTTCCCTTTGTCCTCCTTTTTCAAAGCTGCTCTTTTTCTGATAAGAGTTTCCAGATCCTGTGCCCTGGATGGACAAGAGGCCAAATCCTCTCTTTATAGACACAGACAGTTCATTTGCAAATGGCTACCAACCACTCCTTTTCTTGTTGTTGTTGCTGCTGACAAGCTTTTAGGCAATTTCATGTTACATTTCATCATCTTTTTGTTGCATTAATTTCTGTATTCTTTTAATTTTATCACTTTGATAAAAGATAAATAGATAGATAGATAGATAGGAACAGATTGAGATAGTTAACAGAATAACTTGCCAGATAGATTTCAATAGGCATTGCTAAATCAGATTGCAGTAGATAGATAGATAGATAGATATAAACACACACACACACACACATATATATATAGAGAGAGAGGGTTGTGAAATAGGCATAGCTAGTTAGATAAAAAAGATTGAGCTAGATGGGAACAGATTGTGATAGCTAGAAAAAACAGATTGAGATAGATAAATTAAATAGATATGAACATACCTCTCTCTTTCTCTCTCTCTCTCTCTATATATATATATATATACAGGGTTTGGCAGAAATACCTCCTATATAATGGTAAGACATTAGTGGCAGTAGTGTCTTCATCTAGCTTATGTACTATATATATATATATATATATATATATATATATATATATATATATATATATATATATATATATATATATATATATATATATATATATATCTAAACACAGAGAAAAGTTTTGAATAGCCATAGATAGCTTGATAAAAATAGACTGAGATAGATGAATAAATAGATATGAACAGATTGATACAGTGACACCTCGACTTATCCACTATGTCATGTGTCCTCAAGGAAACATGGCACAGTGGATAAAGGCGTTAGTGATCCAGTGACAGGACCCAAAGAGTGTGAGTTCAATACCCAGTTAAGGCAGTGGAGAACTTTCAGAGAAAAATTAACAAGAGATAACTGTTATCCATTAAACATGGAACATGGAACTGGAAGTCTATCCCAGTGAGCAAAATAAAGGGTTCAGTTCAACATTCCAACCACCTGAAGAAGGCCGGAGCATACAATGGCCGAAATGTTGTAATAAATATGGCGACAAAGATGAGGACAATAGTCCGAATAATGTGTGTGTGTGTGTGTATATATATATATATATATATATATATATATATAATGTGTGTGTGTGCATGTGTGTGTCCTAAAATCATCAAAAAATCAACATAATAAAGTATTTAAAATTCCTGTCAACAGGCAGCACTTGTACGTTGTTTTCCACCAATTTTGAATTCAAACTTGTTTACATTATGATTTAGAATACATTTTTGCCCATGAAGAAAAGTCCCAGTGCAAGTGCTAATGCTAAGCATAAGTCTATATCACTGGAAGATAAGGTGTCGATTAATTATTTTATTCAGAACACTGTATGTATATATCATAAATACTGTAATAAGCAAGGGGGGGTGCTTATTTGCAGTGTATGGTGTGGTTATTTTGACTTAAGTTGCTTTTTGACCTAAGTCGTGACCTCTGGAACCAATTAACGATGTAAGGTGAGGTATACCTGTATATATACATATATATATATAGAGAGAGAGAGAGAGACAGACAGACAGACAGACAGAGACACAATTCAACTGTGAATTGATGAGACCTAGTTGCCAATCGAGTACTGCACTTAAATTCATAAAGTCTAGGTACCATAGTTAAGAGCTCATCTGAATAATTATCATGAAAGTATTTATAGAAAAGGCATAGGAAAGCAACTTTATGGCGATGGGAAAGTGACTGAAGCCAAAATGCCAGGTCAGGACCAATAATATTGCTGATTCTTTGGATTTTATCAAGAATCTCTAAATAAATAGCAGGGGCACTGGGATATTTTTTTACAGCTTTTCAACCTTTTGCAGATTACTTAAAGCCAGAAAATATTTTTAAGATTGTAAGAATTTTTGGAGATAATAATGATTTTTACTGAGACAATTTCTGCTAATTAATTCAGAGCCGGGGGAGACAAAAGGCGGATTCATACCTTTTCCCAGGGTATTTGTGTGTAAGTGAATATAATAAACCCAAGTCTAGGGTTAACCATTATCTTCCAGACAAATCCGCATAAGCTGTGCCACTTACTCTGTTAGCCTCTACCCTGAGTGGCACTTGTACAGCGTGAAAACCATTGGAAAAAAAACAAAAAAACAAGAAATAAAAAACTCAACTCACTGATTTACAATTCTGAGCCCATTATCCATTACACCTCCAACCCCTACATCCAAACCTAGAGCACCTGGTATTCTCAAGCTTGGTACTGACCAGGCACGACATTGCTTAACTTCAGTGACTGTACAAGAACCAGCCTTTCAACATGATAGATAGATAGATAGATAGATAGATAGATAGATAGATAGATAGATATGAACAGACATAGATAGATAGATAGATAGATAGATAGATAGATAGATAGATATGAACAGACATAGATAGATATGAACCAACATAGATAGATAGATAGATAGATAGATAGATAGATAGATAGATCTTAAAACAATTTTTTTAAATTATTTTATACAGTATTTATTATTCTTTGGCTTTCAGATTAATTTTGAAGGCAGTGAATCCCATTCTTGAGTCAAGTAACTACAGCTTTATTAAATAATTTTTGTACGCGTTTGATCATCCGTAGTTAACGCTGATTACCATCTCTCTCTCATTTTTTCTTTTTTTTTTTTTATATATATATAAACAAAATGAAACGCAGGAAGTGAGGTTGCCCATGTCAGAAAATGTTTTGAACATACACAAACAAAGTTTATCGCGAATAAATTGAAAAAAAAAAAGTAATAAACTGGGAATTAAGGCATGTTTGAACTTATCGGCTTGATTTAAAAATGTTTTAAATCCCTCTTGCACGGCATTTTCTTCCAACTTTAATTTCACCCTTCTCGGCTCCCGACAAAGTTCGTGTGTGACAACGAAATGGCGAGATTGTCATCTTAATTATAAAATAAAGGCTGTCTTTAACTAGAACGTTCACTCAGTGAAATAAAGAGATTATGAAACTGTTGTCATCATTTTTAAAAAGGTTTAAAAATTAATTCTTTTTCTTTATTACCATTTCACTTTGAAATACTTTTTTTTTTGTTTATTTAGCAATATTTTTTTTTTAGTGTCTTTTCTTTTTTTTCAAAATGCAACTTTTGTTTTACATTTCTGCTTAAACACGTGTAACTAACTAAATAATAAATAAATACTATTGTCGGATTATAAATAAAATCCATTATTAAATTCCTTAAAAATTCCTTTGTTTACATTTTATTTTTATTTCACGAGCTGAAAAAGAAAAAAGTTAGTCGATATATGTCTCGACAGATCCGAACAAGGGATATGAATTTCTTAAAAATAAATTAAAGTGTAAGTAACTGAACTTTCCTTGACTGTAAAAGTCTCTCAAATCGAGTTGTCTAAACACAGCGGCGGTGGAGACGCAGGTTCGAACTCTGCTGAAAGGCATAATTTCTTTTAGATTTTCGAATACACAGGCCGGTAGTTAAATTTACACATTGTTTAAAAATCAGGGATGTCTACTCAAACACGTGTATATACTTATAGAACGTTTACTTTAAAAAGAAATACATGTAATTGTAATAACTCTTTGTCTGTATCTGTCTATATCTCTGAGATGAGGTATTATGATTATTTATATTATTTGCATTATTCGGACTGTTATCCTCATCATCATTGCCATATTCACAACGTTTCGGCCGTTGTACGCTCCGGCCTTTATGTCTATGTCTCTCTATATATCTGTCTATATCTCTGAGATTAGGTATTATGATTACTTGCATTATTTACATTATTCGGACTGTTATCCTCATCTTCATTGCCATATTCAGAACGTTTCGGCCGTTGTACACTCCGGCCTTTATGTCTATGTCTCTCTGTCTATATCTTTAAGATGAGGTATCATGATTACTTGCATTATTTATTCGGATTGTTATCCTCATCTTCATTGTCATATTCACAACGTTTCACAATCTACCTGATGGACGAAACAAAGAGCTCAGTTTGAAATTCCAATCACCTGAAGAAGACTGGAGCATACAACAGCCGAAACGTTGTGAATATGGAAATGAAGATGAGGATAACAGTTCTTTATGTGTGTTTTCAGCTCCAGTAAAAGCTAATGATCATTAAAAAAAATAAATTATTAGTAATTTTACTGCCTGGGACAAGTATGGGAGAGTGGTTATGATCATGCCTTCTCTGACTCACTTTCATTAACCATCATGGCATGCCAGTGACAAGATATTTTGACAATGGAAGCTGGCTTTCTTCAAAAACTAAAGCCATTTAAAGTGAACATGAACAGTGGTCAGTCGAAATTTGAATTTGGCAAAGTTAAAAAATCATAGGAGAATGGTTTCCCACAAACACATTCACTCAAACACATTTCTGTGCCAACCATTGTGGCATGTTGTTGATAAGACATAAAGATATTTGAAATGAAACAGAACACAGGGAGAAGATGATTCATGCCTTTTACAACAACATTAATTGAATGTAATATTTTAAATACTTTTCCTAACATAGGTAGCCATGATATTAGCTTGTATGACCATGCACACACAGACAGACACACACGCACATGTGCACACACACAGACATACATGCACACACAAAAACAACAATAAATATATATATATATGTGTGTATGTGTGTGAACATGTGTACATTCGTACACATGTGTGTGTGAGAAAACATTATTCACCGAACAAAATAGACAAACGACCTGCGTTATGATACACCCACTGATGAAAGACATTCACCACACAATGCAACATTAAATACAGTGACCAATTGTGTACATATGTATGCAACAACACATGGATGCGCATATGTGTCTGGTCCCACCTCCCACCGCTCAAACAAACGATGATTACAGCTTAATGATGCGCCAACAAACTATACGCAACATATTGAAGCTAGAGAGAACTTTTCACCCTGGACACGACGTGAACCAATTCATCACGGCTCTAAACAAAGCATACACAATCCACGTCACGCCAGAACTCAGCACCTATCCCAGCCTGGAATGCGAATTCGTCAAGTCTGCTAAAGATTTACTAGACCAAAGTATCTTTCAGCAGATTGTTGACTCAAAAAAAGACATATCCACCTTCGAATGACTGAAGGAATACTTATTAGCAGCCCACGGAAGCGAGATGACTAACTTCCAACACCTCAGTCAAGCCTGGGATCTGGAATGGCGAGATGGCAAAAAATTAACAGACTTCGTGGGTCGACTCAAAAACACCCTTAGAGAGGCAAAAAAGACAAAAATACAGACTTAACAGTCGATGGACTTATTTCCATCATCGGTGCTATGCTAATGAGCAAAAAGGTGAAAATTTGGAACTCAAATCTTTACCCACATCTTGTCAAGACAATGGACAACCACTATTCAGCCATTGGCATAGCCTCCAAAGCTCAAAGATACCTTGATCGCGGTGTAAAATCCAACGACACGACTTCGCACAACACTGTGTATTTCACACAGAAACCACAGCCGTCAAACCAAAGAAAGTGCCACTTCAACCCAGCAGGCAACCAATCCCACAGCAGACGGGCATCACCAACCCTCCTGAACATGGCCACCATCTGATACACAGAAACCATCAGCACACACCACGAATCGGTGTGTGCAAGAACTACCTCAGAGGTCGCCCCTGCCTCCATGGATGCAACTGCCTATATCATCACCCACCTCACACTCGGGCACAGGCCCATATCGCCGCAACGAATGATAATATACAAGCCATAAATGATGTGGAACAGGATTTTCGCTTCAGGCAGGCCGAGACGTGATGCCTCGTTCACCATGCCCCAACGTCAGCCATCACACCTTCAACTTTCAAGGACTCGCTCACCATTCACCGCTCATCCAGTCCACCTTCAACTTCAGGGACATCACCTTCTCTAGCGTCGCAATGCTAGACTCTGGATGCTCCACCTGCATCTTACCAATATCTCAGTTACCTACAGAAGCCAAGAAACACATGACCCGCTTTGATGTCATAGTAAAAGGAATCGACGGCAGCACCACCGCCCTCGGCGAACTGACTTGCGACATCACCATCGGCAGTCGAGACTCACCCACATTCAAAAAGGTTAATGTGCTGGTAACTACCCAAACCACACCAATCCTGATCGGCCAAAATATCCTATGTCACAACACGCTCGATTCCTATCTAATCGACAACCAAAATGTGACTATAGAATTCAGACGTACACTTTCCTCAGGATACACAACACACACACCCGCAATCATATCACCGTCATCGTCAACCAATGATCCAACATATGGCGCCCAGCCTACTACTACTACAGCCCAACATCCAGACACTGGATCAAAAGCTAACCTGGCTAAAGCATAGCATGAGGCTATCACTACCAAACCATCTGAACCAAGATGAACTAGAGGCCACTGCAAACTTACTCATAGCCCTGTATTTGCCATACGCAAGAAAAACGGATCGATTCGCCTCGTCGCTAACTTTAAAAGAACTCTCAACAAGGTCTTAGTCGATCTTGACCCTTACCCAATGCCAAGGATTGACCACTTGTTCAACAAAATCGGTAAAGGCAATAGATATTTCACTTCCCTCAATCTATGCAGCGGCTACTGGCAAATTGAGATCGACAAGTGAGACCGATACAAAACATCATTTACATGGAAGGACCGATGCTATCAATGCACGCGCCTGTCCTTCGGCCTTACATCTGCCGGACAAATCTTCTCCCGTTGCATAGCAGAAGCCCTAGCCACAGTCACATCCCATGACAACATTTCTTCCTATGTCGACGACAACCTGGTCTATGCTAGGACATTAAGGGAGTACATACTCTCCCTTAAACAATTTTTTACTGCCTTCCAAAAATTTGGACTCAAGCTGAATCCAGATAAATGTTCCTTCCTCGCATCAGAGGCAAAATTCCTCAGACGCATAGTAAACAGTGAAGGATTCAAGGCTGATCCAGAATACGTTCATGCCATCAGGGAAATGAAACCTCCAACATCAAAAGAGGAATTACAAAGCCTTATGGGCCATTTAGTGTGGATCAGACAATTCCTAGAGACACGTCTTCACAAAAAAATTAGGTCAGATATGTTTTCAAAACTTATGGGTCCCATACAGGAACTCAACAAGGTGAATTATCTGGATGCAAAATGCCAACAGAGCCTTCAAAAAAATCAAGGACCATCTCCCTTCGCCACCCGTCATCTCATTTCCGGATTTCTCCAAACTTTTCACACTCACCACTGATGCCAGTGACATCGCATGTGGAGCAATCTTAATGCAAGAAGCCGACAACAGGAAGAAAGATATCATAGCAGTCACTTCCCATACATTCAACTTCATGGAACAGAACTGGTTCACGATGGAATGAGAGGCATATGCAGTAAAGTGGGCAATATTGAAATTTGATTATTTCCTTCGTAACCGCCCCTTCGTCATCTTCACTGACCACAGATTGCTGACATATCTGGACCAACGAGAGTTCAATAATCCCAAAATACGACAATGGCAAGAAGAAATTTCATGTTATAAATTCGTCTTAGAATATGTCGAAGGCAAATCAAATGTATGGACTGACATGCTCAGCAGAGGTTGTGGACATAAGAAAATGAAAGCCCCGAACGACCCTACACCAGCAAGCAGGACATTCGAGGTAAGCGGTCCAGACCTCGGCATATACATCTCATCTTTGTGCCTCGGTGAGTTTAACGGTTTACAGCTCATCCCCAAAACTCACACACCACAAAACGCCCGCACCCACAAGCGCATCATCAACGCATTCTTTGCCTATCACTCTACCACCACCATCCCCACTGAGAGAATCTGCAACCACCTTGGCATTGCAAATGAACAACTGAAGGACGACGTCCCGGCAAAGATCATCAGCGCCCTCCAGTCACCCACTCCAAGCGAACCATATATCGATCCTGACGACAACCAAGCTACGCTTTTCAAAAAACATTTGCACCAATTTTTTCTAGAACCAGGCACCTCCGTTTTGATGATAAGAGACAGTAAACACTCTCCGAGATTGGTTGTACCATATAAACTATGATCCAGATATCTCTACCAGGCACACGAGGGCAACAACCACTCAGGTGTTACCCGTATGCGAGAACTCCTTTCCAGCTACTGGTGGGAATTCAAAAACCGTGACATCAAGGCCTATGTCGATTCTTACGACACGTGTGCTAAGTGCAAGGGCAACTACAGTAGACATACCCACTGGCCCATTGGCCACTGCAAATGAGGAAAGAGACCAATCGATCTCGTCTTTATAGACTTTGTCACAATGCCCAACTCAAAGACTGTGCTATCGACGCCGTCCGCAGATTGTACCAGTTCTTCCTTTGACACAGAAAGATTCCACGCATAGTATCCTCTGATCGAGGCACACACTTCACTGGAGAAATCTATTGACAATTCTGTAACCAGATGTCAATCACGCAAGAACTTCACTGTCCTTGGTGCCCGCAAAGCTCAGGAAATATCGAGAGACAACATCACACGATGAAGAATGCACTTTATGTTATGCGAAGACAGAAACTGTGAATGAACAGACGTTCTAGAATCTGTCGTTTCGTCCATGAATGCCACAACCAACAGCGCCACCGGTGTCTCCTTGCACTATGCCATTACTGGCCGTCACCCCAACATCGGCCTACCTACACTACACAGAAAAGAAATTGCAAGTGACGATCTTGGAGCATATGGAATGCAAATTAATGCCCTGCTAAAGCAGGTCCACCACCACGTCATCCTGGCCAACGATGAAGCTGACCACAAACTTGAGACTAACTTAAATCGCCTCACATACAAGGACCCAATACAAGTAGGTGACAAGGTTTTACTTCATCGGCCACACTCAACTGTTGCCCAATCCTCTCATCTGCCCTGGATAGGAAATTACACCATTATAAAAACGAACAATATGATGTGTCAGGTGCAAAACGATAATGGTGATACAATCTGGATTCACCATGCATATATCCAACGACTGGCTCCACGTCCAACACATCTATCTAATACAATCCCTATGCCTCCACCATGTAACAGTCACCAGGATCATTATCCTCCACATTCCTCTGGGACACATAATTCAGCAAATAACTCCATACCAAAACAAATGCCAATAACAAGAACACGAGGACAACTTCCCACATGCTTCAGAGACTTTATCATGAATTAATCACCCAAATATACACAAAAAAGGCCCACTGTAAATCAGACCGAGATCTGGGGGAGCCTTGTTATAAAATAAAATAAGACATATCTCAACTGATTTGCAGGCAAATAAACTAACATACTCAAGAACGAGAGCCGGATGTGAACAGGACAAGGCCCCATCACAAAATGACCATTATCGCCATCTATGCATAAGCCCAATGTACGAGTTCCGGTCGAAAAATAAAACATTTTAAAGTGTTTCTATTTTTCGACCAATAAAAATGCTTCCCTCCTAATTATACTCGCGTCATTTTTTGAGCCTGTTAAGCCATAAAAAGGGTCACATGGTGAAGTACAACAGCAGTCAACAGGAGGCCAGGGAAGAGACCTGTTACGGTCAGGCCGAGCAGCCAGCAGCAGTCAGCAGCAGTAGCGCCACGCCAACCAGCGAGAACTACTATGAGAGATCAACCCAGGTCAGCAGCTGGCTTATGAACTATACCACAAGGTAGCTGTCCCAAAACCACACATTCCTATTGAAATAAATCACATAAATCTATTTCTGCTGTTGTCATATTTCTTTCTTGCCACCATATGCTTGTCTATAACAACAACAGCACATGACCAAATGACCTTCCGCAGGTTTTGAATTCAGAGTTGTCCTTCTCCTAGACCAGTTGTCATCCAAGGCTATAGAACCCAGTCTGTCCTTAGCTGGAGGGAGAAGAGGATTCACACCTTTCCCAAAGGTATTAGCACATAAGTGAATGTAATGGATTCGAATGGAATTCGAACTCGGCTCTCCGTTTCCTCAATCCAAGCCGCTATCGTTTATGACACCTTGCATTTTTTGAGTGATGTTTGATGGGTTTTAACCAGGATCTGTCTTCATTTTTTATTATTTTCTTGATTTTTTAAAAATTTTTGTGTCTTGCGTTTGTTTATTTTTATAGGGAATTGAAGTGGGCCCCATATAAGATTCCCACATATAAGAGTCAATGTTTTCACTATCTACAGACACTGTGGTGATAATGGTGTAGAGCTGGCTGGTTCTGCAAGTGTTCATTTTATTGGTCTTACCAAGAATGAGTGTTTTTTAAAAAGAGGTGGAAAAGAACACCAACCAGCAACTGTAAGCTGATTGGCTAACCTTGAACTGCCAAGGGCCGATAATCATCTCTTATTTCTCATATTTTTTCATCAAGAAGGTGTCTCATTTTTGTTGATAAATGTGTTTGTCCATAATTATAATTTTATCGCCTTTGTTGGAAGAGGATATAAAAAACTTTCGCATATCCCCTTCCAACAAAGGCAGTAGAATTATAATTGTGGACACACATATTTATCAACAAATGAAACTCTATTCTTGATGTTGATAATATTTATGAACAAATAAACAAACACAAAATTACAATTTCAGAAACTGAAAAAAGAAACCCAGAAAATAATAAAAAAGGAAGACAGTTCCTGGTTAAAACTTATCAAACATCACCCGAAAACACGCATTCTCTATGGATTACCAACTTATATATTTATATGTATGTTGTCATGTCTCTTACACTAAACCGGATGTTGACTGCTCAACGACCCAAGGCAGAATGCAAAAACATGTCTCTGCACATCATGGCTTGATGCATGTTTTTGGTGTTGATATGTCCCGGAAAGGGATATATTTGTTCGAAGTAGCAAAGTGGTTTTGGACTACTGTAACCGAGAAGGACAATCTAGCAGGTAACCATAATCAACTGGTCCTCGTCGTAGTGGTAGGCAATAGGCATAGGCAATAGGCGAAGACAATAGGCATAGCCAATAGGCGTTGTCGTACCTCCACATCAGTCTGTATTTATGGCTGACACCAGCCAATCATATTACTGTGAGGGGGAACCCAGGTGTATGTGTATTCATTACATCAGTTATTAAATGAAAAAATGAACTTTATATATTCGCCAGTTGAAATAACTCCTGCTAAAAGAACTAGACTGTGATTTGGGGCTGATACTACGGATATAAATTCCCTGATTCAAGGCTGCAAAGGCACAAAAGAGAGAGACAGAGAAAGAGACGCAGCTGACATGTCGACATGCAGAGGGTGGTCAAGAATGCTGCAAACAGACTGAACACAATACTTTTCAACTTTCATCCTTCATTGCCGCAGTCTTCACAAAACATCAGCCGATAGCCATGACCAACATTCTTTTTCTTTCTTTCTTCCCCACTTTGTCACCTTTTACAACAACAACAACAAGTTCTGACTTCCAGGTGACACATTCTTCATTTCCGCAACAATGTATATGATAAAATATAGTTTTAAGGCATGCTATATTTAAAGTGTTCAATATCAAGGATAGACTGCATGCAAATATAAAACTGGACATTTAAGTCAACACCCACTGGTGACAGTATATTTCAAGCTTACATGCAATCTTATGGCTTGACAATTGTGTATAAGCATGAAACAGTGTTGACTTAAATGTCCACTAGCATGAAACACTCTGTCCCCTCTAAGTGTTGACTTCAATGTTTACTTTTATATTTACACACACTCTATCTCTGATATTGAGCACTTTCTCCCATAAATATAGCACACCTTAAGAGTATATTTCTTCATATATATATATATATATATATATATATATATATATGTTGAAAGAGAGAGAGAGAGAGAGAGATGAACAAAGGTATTGAGATAGATATATAGATAGATATGAACAGACTAAGATAGAGAGATTTAAACAGACTGAGATAGATAGATAGATAGATAGATAGATAGATAGATAGATAGATAGATATGTGAATAGACTGAGACAGACAAATAGATAGATAGATAGATAAATAGATACATAGTGTGTCAACCTGAACATCAACATATGGTAACTATACACTGTGTTATTTGATGACATATAAGACTAGCAAATATTTACATTTAATTTTACAGTATTACAGATGCTTATGGTCATATCATTTTGAAACACAGGTTCTCATCCAAGATGGTTGAGCCAGATCAGTATTCAGATAGTAGGGACTGCTGGGAAATACCAGTTGCTGTAAGCTACACAACAGGCCTAACAAGCTGGCAATTGATACACTCTCACTACATATGCTAAAAGAAAACCTCAATATATGGAAGTGCTTCCGACAGGCCGCAAGAAATACCTGTAATTGAGTAAGCCAGTGATTGAGAGTATTATGGAGAAAGGTGAAGAAAAAGTACTGATGGCATATAAGACTTGTAATATGAAGTTGAGTGATGACTTGGCGGTACATAAAATTTTATAGTATTATGAATTTGTAATCGGTGCAGTGGGCATATCGTTGTTGTAGTCTTCTTCATCATCATCAGTCGTCCCTCGACTGTTTCAATCTTCGGGGAGACCTGAGAGCAGGAGAAACAGACAACCTCCTCCAGGCTAATCTATTGGCAGTGGCTCTCAGGAGTTCCAGCATATTGTTGATATAATTTTATTTTACAGTATTATTGAGTTGGATGATGAGCAAGTACTGGTCTTTGATATATGACTTCCAAATATTTACCTATGATTTTACAGTATTATAGAAGTGGGCAAGAAAAAGAAGTGGCATTTGATCGCATATAATATTTATAGATATTTATATTTAATTTTACAGTAATTATTTAGGACTCAACCTAATTATTCATGACCCAACCTAATATTTATGAATCCACCTAATATTTATGACTCAACCTAATTATTTATGACTCAACCTAATATTTATGACTCAACCTAATATTTATGACTCAACCTAATTATTTATGACTCGACCTAATATTTATGACTCAACCTAATATTTATGACTCAACCTAATTATTTATGACTCAGCCTAATATTTTGTTGCTAACATTACTTGCAACAGTTTTCAATGCTTTCCAGATATCTTCATTGCTTGAATATTGTTCTATATTCTCATATAAGTCTATTTTAATAATAAAGCACAAGTTTTTCTATTGGATTAAAAATACAGAGAAGGCGAGAGAACAGCCTTTTGCTTGGTTCACAATGCTTCCCTGTCTTTTGAACAGGAGTAAAGGTTTATTCCTTGCTTCCTTCTTAATGATTGGATTTTTGGTTTCTTCTAAAAACTTCTCATTCTCTTTCACTCTAAGTAGCCCCTTATGTCTTGGTGGTGTTATTGATTTGCTTGAGTGAAATGATTTTAAAAATATCTGAAGAGGCTTAGGACCTGTACATTAATTTGGTGTCTTTGAAATCTTTTTTAGCAAAGTGAGCACTTGTTGTTTTTGCAGAATGGGAATAAGCATTTTCTTAAATGAATATACTCTTTGGATTTGTTGGAGGTTTCAACAGTTTTTAATAAGATTTTATAAGCTCCTGGTACATTTGACCCACTAACAATTTTTGGTGAACTTGTGTAAGTCCAAAGGAAAAATAAGACATAGAATTTGAACAAAGAAATATTAACAAATATATTGATAAGACATTTTAAAATATATATATATATATATATATATATATATATATATATATATATATATATATATATATATATATACAGGGTGTCCCAAAATAATGTATACACTCTTTGAATCATTATAACTTATTCAGTTTATGTATTTTGACTTATAAATAAGATTAATACAAGAGAAAGAATACTCATTTAAAGAATTTGAGAGTAAAATATACAAATAACATAGAAAATTAACTTTAATAAGATAAAAGATACTTGGGGCAATGGTAGAATGTCCATATAATGATGAGTTCACATCAAGTGCTTAAACTGGTTACTGTTCTGTTCAATACACTTTTCATATCCTGAAGACCTACAAACGTCCAGTATCATTTCCTCTGATATTTGAGCACATTCTTCTCCAATTGCTACTCTCATTTTAGCAATTGTTTCAGGTTTCCTGCTGTAAACTTTGTCTTTTAGAAACCACCACAAAAAGAAATCCAAGGGTGCCAAATCTGGTGATCTAGGTGGGTATTTGACTGTCCCTCTTCTTCCAATCCATCTGTTTTGCATATTTTCATCCATATAAGTTCTCACATCATGGTAATGTATTATTAACTATTAATATTTAAAGAGTGTACACTTTATTTTGGGACACCCTGTATATTGATAGGACATTTTACAAAAGGAAAAATGAGAAATTAAATTAGAAGAGTTAAAAGCAACTGTCAAGGAGTGGTAATTCAAAATGTCGCTACCTGTGATTATCATCAGGGGGCAGTAATCCAACAACTTAAAGCTTTTTAGATGTGACCCCAAAAAAAAAACTTGTCCAAGAATTTAGAAAAAAATCCTTGTTTGTGACTTTTAATTGAGACCATATGAGTCCACTAACCCAGATTTTATTATGTGCATAAATATTTTCACAATTGGTATGACTCTACTGATGTTAGTACAATTCAACCTCTATAATCTGGTAATCTGTGGCCTGTTGACTCCCATGGTTCAGTACTTTTTTAATCATCTGCCATTAGTTTGTTGAGTGGCTAGAAAGGCAGCACCACATGTTGTTTACAATTTTCTCCAGAATCCAACAGCAGCAGAGTGTTTATAAAAAAAATGTTTTATTGATTTCAAAACTATATTACCATCATGGAATTTCTGGGTTCAGAAAGCGCAACTAAAAGGTTCTGTTGAAGGAATTTTATTGACATCACAATTTTCTCAGCCTAGCAACATGCAGTCGTCTAGAACCTTCAACTCTTTTGGCGGCATATCTATGTGACTTATCTTGATGACCTGAGGGTTAATGACATCCTAACTCTCTCTATCAATGAGCACTCTGCACTTCTGGAAATATCCAAATTAAGGATAAAATCACCACTAGTCAATCAGTCTTTAACTCTGTCATCATGGGGACCCTGTGAGGCCTATTTAAGGAGTTCAAAATACTCATGAGAGGGAGTTGAATATTATAGCTTGACATGTCACTCTTGGCCTGAATTCCAAGCCCTGTGAGAATGAACAACTCTGGGTTCAGATACAGCTTATTACCAGTGACTCCAGAGACAGCAAATTCACAGCTATATCCATCTACTTAACCTCAAGGACCAAAAAACCCTTTCTTCAAATACAACATAGATATGGAAATGCCCCTTTCAAAATGAAGTATTTTTCCTCCTACTATTTTATTTAAATTAACAATATCATATAATAATTCATTTGTTTATATATGTTTGTGAACTTACACATTTTTTTTTTATCCACATGGTAATATTGTTTTTTATTTGAAAGTATGTTTCTGCCCCTCAAGGTTAATTTGATTTATGTTATATTATTTCTAATTTAAAGGAAAGGTTTTAATTTTTTACAATGTGCATGAATGCAATCATCTTTTCTTTATTTCATCAATCTTGCTGTTGGCCTAAAATTTTGTACTAACATTGTGTATGCCCAGGATAAATGGTAACAGTTATTATTTTGCAAGTAACTTATTATAATTCACCACTTGTGTCTTCTGTGTCATTTGTGCCATTATTGTCCTCCATTTTTTTTCCATGTTTTAGTGATAGTCTTCCACATTTCTTATGTTGTATAGCTGCCAACCTAGGCATTCAAATATATATTTTTCGGTTTTAGGCTTATTTTAGCCTTTCTATTACATGAAACAATAAAAACTTTGTTTGAAAGCATTAATGATTGTTTTATTTCCTGTTTTAAGCTTTGTTCTACCTTTGATAACACGGCAATATACAGGGTGCGATGGATAAATTGACGCTAGTGACTATCTTGTTGTTAATCGCCTATTGCATCCCTACGACTGCATGACATCTTTAAATTTGATTTTTTGCCCATTTAATCTTTCATAGTATTGAAACCCATAACCAATTCCTATGCTGTTGTGCTTACCATTATACCACAATACCAACATAATGGTTGGTTACTCATTTTTAGAGAAGAATAAAATTATATTTTTTAATATATTATTTAATATATATATAAATGTGTGTAATAATAATAATAAGGTAAAAAATGAATGTTTTATTCTGCATCTTCAAGTTCAGTACTCCGCCTGTACCAAACAAGTTGATAGAGACAAACCCTGTACCCATCAGGAGTTATGTAGTACAGGGTTAAAAGCTGAAACTGAAGGTTTTATTCTTGCTGTACAGGACTAATGCTTGCTAACTAGAAATTACTAAGTATATATGCTGAAAAATTGTGTTAACCCAAAATACAGATTCTCTGATAAATATCCAGAAACAATTGACCATCTTGTATCAGGTTGCACAGTGTTAACACCCACTGAATATAAAACTTGACATGATAGAGTGGGCCAATATCTGCACTGGGGAATATGCCAATTTATGGGAAGGAAAATGCAAGAAATTGGTATGGACATCACCCAGACCTGGTTACAGAGATAGGACCTGTAATAATTGTATGGAACTTCACAATACATATGCACAGAACAATCAAAGCTAATCACCCAGGTATCGTAATCAAATGATCACAAGAACAGAATGTATTTTCTTATTGACATGGCAATTCCTGTGGATTGTAATGTATCTTTGAAGATCTTAAAAAAAAACTATCAAAATACAAGGATCTTGAAATGGAAATCTAAAAACATGTGGCACATGAGGACATCAATAATTCCAGTTGTAGTTTTAGCCCTCAGATTGATTGGAAAAAGTTCTAATAGGCTCAATAGATGGATTCCTGGTAGCCCATGCCTTAAAGAAATACAAAAAACTGTATTCACAAATACAGCTCACACATTATGAAGAGCTTTATCTATGTAAAATGTGTGTGATCTTAGTTTTTTTTTTTTTTTTGCTTTTTTTTAACAAAAAATGATCAGTGGAAAATGTCATGAAGCCATTTCTAACCTTAGGTCTTTGGTTGGGACCCAGAAGGAAATGTGTATACAACAGAAATCTAAGGAAGAAGAAATAATGATGATGATGGCAAGAGTGACAAAAGGAAGCAGTGGATAAGCCCCTGCCTAATGAGCTTGAGTAAAGAATTGGAAGAACAGAGTTTAGGAGAAATAGCCAGAAAGGTCAGGAAATTATGACGAGATATGATCACCCACGTACTGAAAGGACGCGGCGCATAAAAGAAATAATTTCTGCACATGTCAAAACGTAAAAAAGCTGTCATGTGACAGTCTGGCTAGAGTTGTAAAATGTGAGTCACTTTGCAAGTTGGTGGTGCCAATTCTTTGGAATAATATCAGGTCTACTTCAGATTTCTATATTTTTTTCCACTTTCCATGACCTATCAACATAACTGACACAATGTACGACCATGTCATCTCACTAGTAAGACCTTATTTCACTTTTCTATATCTTCTAATATGTGTTGATTTTGCTGCACGAATAAACTATTTTCTGATTTTGGTTTCTGTAAATATGTAAACTAAACTTTTCTCTCAAATGTTATACACATATCTTTGTTTTTAATCACATGTACATAAATGCTAGTATATCATGGATATAATAATGCTATATATAGGGATGGTAAGATACACTTATTGGAAATGTATGTAGAAATTGACAAGTGTCTGATATACAGAAAGTCCATATATTTTAGTAAAAGTTATTACTTACAGTTCAATGAACAGGAAGTATAAATGTATTTAGTGAACA